GTCTCCACGATTCCAAAAGCCTCTCAAAGCCGCGCCCGCGCGGGAGCCATTACCGAGAGAAAAACGTCTGCGACTGTACGCATATTAAAGGAAATGATATTCTTCTTTGGTCCTATTCGCAGTCTGATTCCCATTAGCGAGTTTTCGGCCGAAGCGTATCAAGGTCGCCGCGGAAGGGCTTTAGATAAGCAGGATCTCTGCGTCGCGACGAGAGACCCCGGTTCCTTTTCTCCGCTTTTGTCGGCCGATTGATGCGTCTCCCAAAAGGATATGCGGCCCATTGAGCAACGCGGCACAATGGCTCCGCGAGGGGCCGTAGATACAAATTACATCGGCATTACCTCGCCATTCTGAGCGGGACAGGCAGCACCGAAACCACGAATTATCAGGGATCCGCGACGAGAACGCGTCCGACTTTCTCCGGCAGACGTCACCCGGTGCTCGCTGTTCGACCTTTTCTAGCATTTTCTCTTGCACCAAGATCTGCTGCAGTCTGCTAATAGCTAGCTTAACCCTTTGCGACATTACATTCGACGACTGAGACTCTTCGCGCACTTGTTTCGTTTAAGTTGTGGATCACGAGTCTAATTCGTTATTTGAAGTAGTTATTCAAGCTTTTATTCACAGTAATGTCTCTCTAATTGACGCTCGGATTGTCCATAAAAATGGACAATTTTGGAAGAGGAGATACGATTGTTCGAGCTTTGCAGCTCGTTTTTATGGTTGTTGACAATTCGTATATTATATATTCGTATATTATAAAAATATAAATATATATATATATATATATATATATATATATATATATATATATATATATTCGTATATTATAAAAATATGAACCGCAAGGATCGAATAATCGTCTCTCTTCTTCCTAAATTGTCCATTTCTGTGGACAATCTGTGCGTCAATTGGAGACACATTACTGTAGATTGTATCGCTGAAATAAATGAATTCTCACACGACATTTATTGTCTTTATAGAATATTTTATGCATCAGAGAAATAAATCCGTTTCAAATGCAAGAATTCTTTCAAATAAATCTGCACCCAAGCGGTTAAAAAGTTCACTTCGTCTTAGTCTTTCGTGCTGTACCTTTGTTCATTGAACACTGAAGAGAACTGAAGACGAAATGATCATTAATTAATTTTCAATTTTCTGTTATTCAACGTTTACATTTTGGAAGAATTTGCGAGGAGCTAGGATTATGGATACTCGATTATAAAATGGATATAAAAATTAATAATTGAATGCGGATCGTTGAAATTATGTAATTCGACGGTTTTATATTCTTGTTAGAGCAATCTGTATAAAATAAATAATTCGCGATATGATTTCCTTAAAATTTAAGTTCGTATATCGTCGTTTCTATATATCATAACAATTTTATATTTTTATGCAAACCCCTAATAAGAATTTGTATATTGCCGCAATAAATAGAGTTTGTATATCGTTGTTCTTAAATATTGTAAAAATTAAATATTTTTATACACGTGCTTAATAAGAATTTATATATTGTCGTAATAAATAAAGTCGTCGTTCTTAAATTTTATAAAAATTAAATATTTCCATACACACGCGTAATAAGAATTTATATATTGTCGTAATAAATAAAATTCGCATATCGCATCGTTCTTAAATATTATAAAAATTTAATATTTTTATGCACGTGCTTAATAAGAATTCGGATGAAACTATAATCGATTTGAGACTATTACGAGTTACTTTGAACTTCGAACGTATCAAAAATGAAGCTCTTAACTGCATTTCGGTTTTCCGCAACGTTCTCTTCACTTTTTGGTAAGAAATTTCCGATGGAAATTCAACATCGAGCATTCCTCGGCTCCCTCGGTCTCTCGCAGTCGTAAAACATTCGCGCGGTGCGACCTTGAGGGCCGATGAAGACGTAACAGTTTCCCGGGGGCACAAAGAAATCGTTTGCTCCGCATGGGGCTTTGTCACGATCCCATGCTAGATGAAACTGTCACACGCTGAACTCTCTCCCGCAGGCTGGCGAAAGGGATCGACAAACCGGTATACGTCCATTTCGGAATTGAACTGTGGGGGGTCGCGGGCACGTTCGCAACTTGGCCGGGTCCGGGACAAACGTGACAACAGCACACGGCCCTCCGTTAGATCCGAAATTACTGGCTTATTTCGTAACGCGTCCGTGCCGTTGCTCAAAGTGTCTGCTCGTGAAGCGACGCCAACGAGATCCCGAGCCGGTTGCAGTTTCCGAGATTGTTATCTCTGCCCAACTGTCAGATTTACATCGGCGCCCCCGCGCTCGATCCTTTTGTTCCGCCGACGAACCGACCTATCGACGCACCCCGTCGGCCGATATTAATTCCACGAGATTTAATTAACCTCCCGCAAACGTTCGGCCACGCCGAATGGAAATTCGAGGATGAGGTTTTCTCGGCTGTGTTTTCTCAGACGCGTTTCGGATCATTTGTTCCATTCGGCGAACTTAGTTTTGTTACGTCGTTTACGTTTCTTTCTTCGGGACTTCTCGTTTTATTTTATTCTTGGAACGTTATTTCGGGGACATTGGTTTTATTTATTTCGGAAATTGTTTAAGGAATCTTGCGGTAAACAGTTTCTAGGGATACTAAATAAACGAGAATGGTACTTTTATTGTTGCTTTTAATATTGTTTACTTTTAGTATTAGAAATCCACAGATCAGGCACAAAATAAAAATACGTAGAAATTCGCAGACTAGTCATCGCACAAAATAAAAATATGTGAAAATTCACAGATGAGCCTTTACACAATATAAAAATACATAAAAATTCAGACTGGCCATCACACGAAATAAAAATACGTAAGAATTCACAGATTAGTCCTTACATAATATAAGAATACATAGAAATTCACAAACTACCCCTTACACAATATAAAAATACATAAAAATTCACAAACTACCCCTTACACAATATAAAAGTACATAAAAATTCGCAGACCAGCCATCACACAAAATAAAAATACGTAAAAATTCACAGATGAGCCCTTACACAATATAAAAATACATAGAAATTCACAAACTACCCCTTACACAATATAAAAATACATAAAAATTCGCAGACCAGCCATCACACAAAATAAAAATACGTAAAAATTCACAAACTACCCCTTACACAATATAAAAATACATAGAAATTCACAAACTACCCCTTACACAATATAAAAATCCATAAAAATTCGCAGACCAGCGATCACACAAAATAAAAATACATAAAAATTCACAGACCAGCCATCACACAAAATAAAAGCACATAAAAATTCGCAGATCAGCCCTTACACAAAATAAAAATACCTAAAACTCTGCGCACCGACCATCGCACGAGATCGGAACGCGTAAAAATGCGCAAGACCAGCCATCGCACGGAATAAAAATGCATAAAAATGTACAAACCCCAGCCATGACACAAAATAAAACAACATAAAACTCCTGCGCACTAACCATCGCACAAAATAAGGACGCATAAAAATTCTACAAACCAACGATCGCACGAACCAGAGAAACGCCGAGAAATCTGGAGATCGCGTGTCGCGCGACGTAAAAATGCACGCTAAAGTTCGCGGACCGGTAACCGCGCAAAGTGGGAGTTCCGCGTAAAACTCTGGGAACTACCCGCATGGGAAGGGTGCAACAATGAAGGCAACAATGTCACAAATTTCTCCGGGAACATCGTGAACACCTTCCGCCGCGGACGAATAATTTAACGAAGGTCCGAAGAGATTCTCGGGAAATTCGGCAGCTCCTCGGTTCGACGCCGCGGCTGTTGGATGTTTGCAGACATCTGGTGCTCCGGCACCGGCTCGATAGCCGCTGTTTACCGAGCTGTCGGTAAGTTAATGTCATTACGCCTCGGATCCGCGCGTACACAGCCTCGCCGACACACCGACCGGAGGGACCCCCTAAAAACTGCGCCGAGGCCAGCAGCCGCCCTTATTGCCAGGGGGTTGCCCCGCGCGGACACGCGTCGCGTCCCCTAACCGGAACCCGATATTCGATCGTCATAATTTATCGTTACGCGCGGCGAAGGGCCCGCTCGATAAATTCCCGCGACTCTTTCCCGACGACGTTAGGCGTTGATTTACGCGATCCATGCGCGGGGATCGACGCCGATGGTGAGTCAATGTTCCGCCGCGATTTGCGACGGCGTGTGTCGCATCGCGAGCCGCCCGGAAGGCCGTAATTATGGCCGACGGGAAAAGGAAGGAACTTTTATATAGATAAACGATTGGAAATAACGGCGCCGCGGGAACAAGCCTCTGCTCGCTGGCAGAGAATTTTAATTGGAGTTTAATTGGCCGCGGCTGTGGTGCGCGCTTCCAGCGGAGCTCGCCGCGTTTTGGGTGAATTATTTTAGGGTGGTTCGTCTTCGCGCGCCAGAAGAAAACATTTATGCGGTTAAAATACGATCGCGATCGTCCGCGAGCTCGTTTATCGTTTGCCATACGGTCTGATATAGATGCTGTTCTCGTTTAATTGTCTGCGATTATACGCGCTATATAATTGTGATTTTCTTTTTAAATTCAATGCTTTTGGAAAGCGTGTGACTCGATGGAGAATATCGAAGCATTTATCATTCGTAATCGAGCATTATAGTTGTTTGGACATGTACACTCGTCGCGAAGAAACGGATATGTCTTATATTGCGACGAGTATACTCGTCGAGAACAGTTAATTAGTTGACAATTGCGACAATAGTGGCGAACGCGTGAAATCTGCAGACGCGTTCGAGAAACGAATGCGCCGATCTCGTCGCTTGGAGGAAGTCCGTGCTTTTTCTCGGAGATCGACGGACAACCGGATCGCTTCGGAGAGTCTCCGGGATCGAATTCTTCACCGTTCCGACGAAGCCACCGCGATTAGTATCGATCGCGAAGGGTTCGGAGCGTTGTTAATCGCCGCGCCGTCGCGCGAAGAGACGCTCGCGAAGCCGAGTTGCTCGTTTCGCACAGACATCTAGAGTGTGACGTGAAATTTCAGATGGTCCCTTTATCCGTCGTGGCAATAGAAGCACCACTGTGAAGGACCACTCAGAAAAATGAGCGCAGCCGTAGAAAACGGCGTGGAGGCCTCGAAGCCGCGTGGCGTTTTCTCGAAGGCATTCGCTAAACGGGCGCAGCCCTTCGAGGAAGGTGAGTCTGGTGAGACGCACAGAAATGGTTCAGGGATTACTTCGTGGTGCACATGGGGCTTTTTCTGGTGATTGGTTCTCCTGTATCGTAGTTCCCCTCCCACCCCTGTTCGAGAGCACACGACTAATTAATATGGTGGAGGTCCGTCGTTGCGATCCGCTCGATTTTTCAACGACGCGAACGTAACTGTTCTTGCCCCGACACCTGTTTACGACTCACAATTTATCTCATCCGGGTATTTGTCGTTATAATTGTGGTCGCTAGAGTCTAATCTTTTTTTGGAGATTAATCGACCTTTTCAGCGCAATTAGAGCGGTTCTGGTTTCGGAAATTCGTTCGTGTAAAAATGTAAATAGAGCGGCGAACTGTCAGAGATATCAAATCGGGGTTATTATACAATTAAATGGAGCTGTTTTCGTTATTAATGAAACTATTGTCCGTATCAGTAAAACAATTCTCGAAATTCTGCAGAGTTATTTCAATTCGTTGAGAAGCTTCGAACGAGAAAAAAGAAGCCGTTAACTTTTAATTTGACCCCGCGATGAAAAGCGATCCCCGGTAAATAAACTTCGGAAGTATGAAAGCAGAGGCTCCGAGCTTTAAAATGAGCCGAGGTAGATATTCCTACGATTTTTTCCCTCGAAGTTACAGCGGTTCGAAGATCAGCAATTTTCCAGTCGAAGTGCTCGCTTAATTTTACAAGTATCCGATAAAATATTGAAATTCCGCAGAACATCAGTTTTTCACTTTCTTTATCACTCCAACGAAATTTTTATAAAATATTGTTCACTCGTTGTCTGGAAAACTAGTTAATCTAACATCCGAACAAAATTGAAGTCGCTCGCTTCGATATTTAATTATTTAGATCGCCGTCGACGCTTATGCGAACGCCCAGAATATTCATGCAAATTTGTGTGACGCAGTTATTCTAATTACTGCGGACTTTATAAATTCACGGAAAAATTGGTTAGTTGCAATTTTAAATGATGTGCAGATTGAAAGCAACTTAAAGCGTCAATGTGTTATTTTTCATTCATTAAAATGATTAAAGAAAGAACGAACGCGCTATTTGGGTTTCAATACTTTGCAATTCATGCAGACAATTTATATTTCGCATAAAAATCCGCACTCTAATTTGTTACTATTATTAACGCATACGATACGGTACAGCGTTTCGACCGTTTCAATGCGAATCGTGCACGGTGCGCATGAAAATCTGCTGCTGTAGCCGAAGGGTTAAATGGTGTCTCGTTCGAAAATGTGTCAACATAGATTCCTTGGCGACTCTATTTATGTCCTCGCGCACTTTTCCGGCCGCGGGGCCACGGAGATATTGAACGGGCTTTCAGTTTCCGCGGACGCTCGTAAAGAATAGCTATTCCGCTGCGTACGCGCATAATACGGGGCCCATCCCATATATCAGGCTAACCCCTTCGCGGTTCCCTGCCGGTATCATAGCGACCTCGTGCTGGAAGCGCACTTAACGTGCTCGCGTGTTTGCACGTAGACCTATATACCACCTGGAAGGGTCGGCCCCGGCTACGACCAGGCCTCTGTGCGCTTTAATGCACATACCTGACCGTAACCCGATGCTTGGTGCCGCCTAGCGATGGGACTCCAAGACCCGCGATCCTCTTGCAAATCGTTCGCCGAGCTCTCGAGAACGCTTCGAGCTCCGGGATCGATACGGATTGAAAATCTCGAAAGCTATCGCAGCGCGGAAATCGGGGCAATCTGGAAAGTCTTCGGCAATTTGGAAGACTCCGGGGCTGGGTAGTTTCGAGACACTTAGGCTCGAAGGTGTCGAAATTGTTTAGGAGCTCTGGAAGTTCGTATTGGAAGGCTTGAGATTCCTCGAGATATTGGGAGATTTATAAATCTTGGAAGTATTGGAGTCTTGAGAGTGTTTGAAAATCTTGAGGATGGGATAATGTTGGAATTTTAGAAAATTTTTGAGTCTGCGAATATCTTAGAGTCTTGGAAAATCTCGAGTCTTGGAAAATCTCGAGTCTTGGAAAATCTCGAGTCTTGGAAAATCTCGAGTCTTGAAAAGTCTTGCGTCTCAAAAAATCTTAAGCCTTCTAAAATCTCGAGTCTTGGAAAATCTCGAATGCTTCGAAAGCACCGAAACCCTAGAATCTTCTAAACAGCCTGAAACTCTCAAAAGCCAGAAAAATAAAAAAAAGATCTCGAATATCCTGAGAATATTCGAACGATTGTCTCAGATTTCCTGAATATCCTAAAACCCGTAGATCCCAGGAAAATCTATAACATACCCTTAATATCTCGAGTGCCACGAGAGCCCCGAATTTCCCAAATACTCGAGAAATGTTCGAACTTCCGAAAATCTCGAGAATCTTCCGTGAACGTCTTTTATCAAGAGAAACAGATCGATCGACACAATCAAATAATACCTCTCGAACATCGCCAAGGCTGCTGGATTTCAATAGGAGATAATTTCGGATCACCCCAAGATCCCCAATTTAACTCGGAATATCCTCGACGGCCACCGAATCTCCAAGTTATTGATTCAATTCCGGCGAACGTTCGATGCACACACGTGTAACTTGCCGATTCCTATACAAATGCTCTAAACGGGCCCCAAACACGCCCGTTGCACCGGTCTGGGCTGCGCATTAATTCCACTATTAGGTCCGATCGCCGATAGCGATACGCCTACCGGATAATATCGCGGAACTTCTAACATCGTCATCTATTCCCAGGCGAACTTTCCATAATTCTGTTACCGTTCCGCCGGAATACACGCCGCCGTTGCATCGCGTGGGAATCGTTAATAACAAAGAAAAGTGTATTCTAATTAAGAACGATGCGAACGAGCCGGGCCCGCGGAGTGCTGTTCCAGTCGATTCTCTAAACAGCAGACCCTATAAATCGCACAAAAAGCAAACATCGTTGCACTCAAACACGTTTTCCCACTTTCCGAATCGTTGAAGCACGCACCACCGAAGTGCATAAAACAATGCCTCGCAACGAAGCGGGCCCTTACAGTAGAAACGAAAATGTTTCAAACGAAACAAAATATAAATTCTTCGGGATTCCAACGAAATTCCTCGCGTTCGCATTTTTTCCCACTAGCAACGAGCTGTTACTTCGCTGCACCGTTCTACAACATTTGAAACGGGATGCAAAAATTTCAGGTTGCAATGAAACTAATGCATTTTTTCTAGGACAAAACAGACTAGTCGGTCCTTTGGATTAACCTTTTGCACTCGAACGGCGACACTGAGTCGACGACGAAATTTACCGTACTGTAATTTCAAACGATTTTTACGTTACCAAATCTTTTTTTATTTAGTAAACTGGTAAAATAAAATTCTAGTGCGGGATGAGCAAGTGTTAAAGTCTGTACATAAAAGCGAATAAAAATCGAGAAAGAAAAGAAATCTTTTTAGGTTGGAAGAAATATCTAGAGCTTCGATGTTAAAATGTCTTCGAGTGCAAAGGGTTAAAGTAGAATTTCTTTCGTCTAAAATTTATGCATTGGCCCATTGCTTCGCTGGACCATTGTTTAAAATTTAAAACGAGCGCCTGAAATATTGATACATAATTTTTTGGAGATTTTTTTGAAAATCTTGGTTCCTACGGTTTCGAATGAAATTCCTTTCGTCGGTAAACTCATGAATTTAAGCTCCGGTACGAGCAACAATCGCGTCATCGCGCGATTACGAGGAACGCGAGATCGCGGACGAAACGCGTCGATTCTCTGCAGCAAAATGTTGCTTGCTCGGAGCGTGTCTTCGAGAAGATTTCCCGAGATTTTCTCTAGCCGAGGCGCAGCTAATTTGTTCATAAACTCCGGAGAGCAAAACAAGCCGCGCTGTTCCGCGGAGCGGTATCGCTTCGGGCCGGTGTCACGTTTGATAAGTGTTTTAATACTTAAGCACGCGCGTCCCGGCGATGCCGGTAAATTTTTCAGCGACAATTTAACCTCGCCGCGGAGTTGCTCGCCCCGGCCCGCGTTTTCCCGGTTGAATTCATTTCGTTTCGCCCGGCCGAGGAACAAATAATTCACAGCGTAATTGCGTTAAGCTTATCCGAGTTCGCACTCGAAGCGAAGGCGGCCTGGCGTCCTTTCGACGGGAACCGCCTCGCCGCGCCGCGGTAATGAAGCAGCGAGATAAGAAATTCGTCGCCGAACGGGCTTTTAACATTCCCGGGTAATTGATTATCCTATCGGCGGCTATTATGGCTACCGGTTGTGTGTCGCCGCCGAGTCGCGAACGGTCGCGCAAATAAACCGCGATTGCGCGCGCGCGCGGCGCCGAATTATTTATTCGTAACTCGCTTCGGCAACGTCATCCTCGTTTTCGACCGTTCGCGACTGCATCCGCGAACAAATTACGCGAAAATTACGAAGCTTCGTTCAGCATGATTAGCTCGCGCGGCATGATCTTTTAAACCGGGTCACCGCTAACGTTTCATCCGTCACGGCGCAGTCCTTCCGAGTGTTTCACGCTTTGCCGCACGCTCGTCTCGAAATATCCTAGAAAGTCCGACGGCTTTTCATTTTCACGATCGTTTACGCTCGCGTGGGAAAGTGTGTTAACACCTTTAACACACTTCCCGACGTTTTAATCGCACGCGGCGATTACCGGACTGCGGATTCTACGCGATTATGGCGAAGACTAGGCGAAAAGATCGATTTAACGTTGCAGAGATATCGAACGAATTTCACCCTTTGCACTAGAGGCAACGACTGAAATTGTTATATCACGTTCCAGGATTGTTTTTACATTGTCAAAGTACAGATTTAAGAGATTGTTCAATTGTCTAACTGTTGCATGAGTCGCGAGACTCAATTTCATGCGCGTGAAATGCGCTTTGTCGCATAAAATGGAAATACTGGAAGTCAGAGAAATTATTTTAGATTTTCGGTTTAAGTGGCTTCGAGTGCAAAGGGTTAGAAATGTCATTGTATTATTTTCGGTCCAACAAAATTATGAAAAAAGGAATGAACATTTTATCTAGTTAGTCAGCAAAATTATTTT